GCAGCCATGAACCGGGAGCCGCGAACTTGTCGAACGTGGCCACGATTGTGGGCTGAAATTATGCTTTTGCGGCTCTGAAAACTGATGGTTCGGTCGTGACCTGGGGCTCCTCCGGCAATGGAGGTGACTCCAGTTCCGTTGCCTCCGAGCTTGCATCGGGCGTCCTGTCCATTCAACCTCCGAAGCTTGATGGCTTCCAGCGTGGCTTTGTTGCTTGGACGAGCATCTTCCCTTCCACCCACAGGAGGATCGTTGCTACGAGGCCGCCGTCACGTCTGGCCTAAAGGGAACATTCTGCGCCGCCTTAAGGAGTATACTAGTCGCATACATTGGCATGAATAATATGGCATACGTATAGCATACAGCACATATGCTAAGCAACTGGGCTTCCGTGTCTCGGGTGTTGAACTGTTGGCATGTCTCTTTGGGCTGCATGCTCTGGCACATGAAGACATCGTAGGATTTTCTAGGCGAAGGAGCTGAAAGATTCCATTCTGACTCTGTTTGAGATTCAAGCCTTAAAGCGGGTCAGTCGTTCAATCCTTCCCAAGATCCCAGGCAGACGTGAAAAGCGCAGTCCAAAATAAGGAAGCTTCATAAAACCTGTGGAACTCCACAAAAACCCGTTCCCAGTATCCGCGGGTAGTGCGCACATGTGCGCACCCGTCCCGCAACTCGATATGCTGCAGTATGTCACGTAGCTTTTGCCAGGTCACCTTGCGGAACATGGCAGTCTCAGGCGGCCGGGTTGTGCAATCTAATCGATGTAATCAATGCAATCATCGTTTTTTTGAGTCGTTTATACTTGCTTCTGTACTGGTTTTCTGCTGGAGTACCAGAGTCCGGAGCTTCCAGAAAGGTCCGGGCGTTGAGGCCCCAGGTCTTGAGCAGAATCCGGGCCAGAGCCCTGCCAGTGAAGGGATCTAAATGCCCTTGCCAGTGTCGGCGACTGCTCTGATATGCAATCTGGGGGGTTTCCGATACTAGGAGGTACCTTGTTGGTGGTCCTTATTATTATAAGGAAATCCTACTCTTTGGGGGGTCGAGATAAGGGTCCCCTTAATTTCCTAAACCCCCATCTGCCTCTTTGGCTTCTCAGGCGACACCCTCCGGAAAAAGGTGGAAGCTGAAGGATCCCAGCTGTGCGCCCGCTGGGAGATCGCTGGGCACCCTGAAGCTTTTCTGATTCAGACAGTGGAGTGGATCTCCGTTTCTGGGGATTTTCGAGTATACAGAATACCTACGTGTGAATCACAGCGTGGTTAGAAGACAACAGCATTCTGCAAAAAGGAGAGCGCCACCATCACCACATTCCAAGCAGATGCGGATGGGGAGATTCGCCTGGACGGCGTCATGGCCTACCATGCGATCCTTGTCTCCATCTACGCGAGGTCGAAGTCGTCGAAGTCGTCCATGATGTCCATGCGCCTCCTGGGCAACGCCGCCATCCCCTGTGAGAAGTTCATCGATGGCGGCTTTGATGGCGAGCTGCAGTTTCATCTGCGCGGCAAGGTTGTGCCGGACGTTCACGTCAAGGTGTCCATTTCCCCCGTACTCAGCCGCCAAGCGGCGGTGCAGCGGGGCCGCAGCAGCATCCGACTGACCATTCAGGGAAACAATGTGATGTCCCTCGAGGGAGAACTCGAGCAGGAGCTCGAGGATTGTGGCATCGCCTTCGACGAAGAATGCAGCTCCAACGTGCAAGCCTGCGAGCTTGCAGGCATCAGTTTTGAGCCTCCTCTTGAAAACGAGCGCTCACTTGCGGAGATGACCGCAGACGACGACTTCCAAAGGAAGTGCAGCGAGCTGGGCATCGTCTTCACGTCTGACGAGGAGCCAGACGCCTCGGAAGACCTTCGAAACCGCAGAGTGCCGCAGGATGAATTGCTCACTGTCGCCGTGATGCCGTGCACCTAAGCCCACGGGCAGGGGGAAAAATAAGAGGCGCTAAGCCAGGGGCAGGGAAAAAACAAAGGACTAAGCAGACTCGCAGTGTAGTCTTAAAGTTCTGGCCACATTTAGGGTCGGTAGGCTCACGGGCTTACGCAGTGTGACATGTTGGGCCAAAAGCTTTGCAGAACTCGCGTATTGAGGGCTGCGGTCTGAGGATCTCGGAGCCAGAGCGTGCAGCTCTTTCCCTTCGCAAACATACAGCAAATCGAGGCGAGCATTGACACGGCACGTAGCGTCAAGACACCGCAGGACACTGACTGACCGCTGCAGTTTTATAGGAGGCCATCATGGCACATGGCGTAAACCTTTCACATGCTGACAACCTTCTCTCGGGTTTGGCGGCTGTGAGAAGTCTCCCATGTCAAATTGTTTGGCCGCTACGTGGCAATGCTGCGGGCCAAAGGGCTCACATATTGAGGGCTGCGGTCTGAGGCAAGTAGAGCACTGAAGAGGAGCGACCTTGAAAAGCAAACTCCCCAGTGCAACAGACATTGACATCTCCCAGATATCTCAAACTCTGTCGTTCTTGGTTTTGCGAAGAGTTAGAAACGATCGCGCCACATGGTCCGAGTTTCTCCTCTCAGGCTCTTGAAGCGCACCCAACTCCGAACGCCATGTGTAGACACGTGCACGAGTTCATTTTATCCCTCTTTTTCCACTCAGTCAGCTGCCCGAAACGAGGCCAACCCGAAAGCCCAAAAAACATGATAAAACATGTCTTCAGGTCGCCCCGGCCCTTGAACAGAGCGAAGAATTGCATCTCGAGGCCCTTGGGCTCGAAAGTTGAAGCTCAAAAAGAATCGTAATAGCGAATAGTCGTGATACTGAAAATAGCCAACGATGGGAATGGTAATGATGTTTATACGAAGAATGATAGTGCTCAGCACCTGATACAAAGATGGCTGCTTCGGCTCCTCGAACTTTGCAGCGAGCAGCCTGCCTGGCACGATTGCGCAAATCCGCCTGGCGAGCCGTTTGCAGAATGTTGCAACCCTAAACCCTGAACCCTTGTGTAGTGCGACTTCAATGATCCGATGAGTCAGGAGTCAGGAGCGTCCAAGCCCGGATGCATCTGATGTCTTGAACGCACTGTCGAAGGCTCGGAACCCTAAAGCCCCAAAACCTACTTAGAACTGTACTTATATGCATGGGCACTTAAGGGCTTATGAATGGGTTATTAAGTAGGTGTCGAATGCCAGCGCTAGTGGTTGAATCCCCTGGCTGCAGCATGCTGCAGCTCTTGAACTGAAAGATGCGATCTTGTCCAGGCTTTGACAGACACGTGCCCTGACGCGAAGACAGAGTGCTGCGAGATCACCAAGAAGGCGCCAGTGAACCTTGTAAGAGTCGGCCACATGTCCTTTCCCGGGAGCACAGAAGCCATCGAACCTTCCTTCCGTTTCTCGACTACACTCACATGGATCCTGCCCCGTGACAAACGCCGATTCAGACAGTTGTCTGAAGCTTTGCGTAGCTTCGTGTCCCATTCTTCAATTTCTCTTAAGTCAACGGTTCAGAGCAACTTCTTGGGGCCATGGCCCACTGCCCGAGTGAGCTTTCGGAGTCTGCCTTTCGTTCTTTTCAGAGGGCCTCAGAGTGTTCCACTCCTCTTGCACACTTGTCCCCTTGGCGCTTCACGCTCCCAAAAAGATGCTCTTCAGCCGCTCCAAAGTTCTGATTTGTGCATATTAAGTGACAGTTGTTGGAATGTCGCTGGAAGACTACGACATGAACTTAGAAGATGTCATGCTGCCCATGTCGCGAGCCTGCTCCATCATGGTTCATCATCATCTATGTTGCGCGTGACTCGTGGGACTTAGAGTCTTAGAATTCGCAGAAGTTAGCTAAGAAGTTGGTTAGCCACCGCCTTGCCGAACGAAAGACTTGACACGCAGGTACATTATCTTCCAGCGTTTCGCGTGTCGCTCCGCAGCTGGCTCTGGAATCCGGCGGTGACGGAGAGGACGAGGCAGGAATGCCACCATGTACAGCCACGAAATGATCCGTGCCCCGGTTTTGTTTTGTGGCATAACGTACCATCTGAGCCTCTACAGCTGCTCGCATTGTTGCATTCAGTGCCAAATCCAGTCCTGTGTGGGGTGGCGTGTCGCAGCGCATGTGATGCCTTGTGCTGTTTTGGCCCGAAAGGACACAACATACACTACTAAAGCATGAGCTTCGCGGCTCCAGGATCATCCCGGCTCCATCATGAGCAGGCGACCAGTCGCAGCGATAATATGCATGGGATCCGCTGGGGATTTGGTCCCCTACCTCGCGCTGGCCCATGAGATCCGAGAGAAGCGGCATGGTTCTGTCCTGGTCTTGACGTCCGAATCACACCGCGCGATGGTCACCTCAAAGGGCATGCTCTTTGAGAACCTGGGCTCGGATCCTGTGACTGAGATGCTGAAGAACCCCAAGAAGAATATCGACATGGGCGCCTTGACGAAGGACTGGCTCAGAAACGCCCTGAAAGCCTGCCAAGAGCATCGGCCGGAGGGTGTCATCTTTACGACGATGACGCACCTGTCGTGCAGCAGTGTATGTGAGGCCTTGAAGCTGCCTTTCGTGATCACTCACCTGGTGCCCATGGCGCCCACTTCCGAGCATGCTCCCCCCGTTTTCGGCACCGCTGACACGTGGTTTTCCTGGACCTGCCACCTCAAGTGGCGACTCTTCGAGACGATGGCGTTTCAGATGCACAAGAAGGCGGTGCAAACCGTAAGGGCCGAATTTGGCCTTGGGGCCATGAGCGAGTCGCCCATACTCGCAGCACGGCGGATGCAGGTGCCTCTGATCATGGGCTACACTTCTGCTCTTTGTCCCAGGCCAAAGGACTGGCCTGAGGCAGTAAGGATCACTGGGCAATGGGTGGACTCGGAACAAGAGGCGGCGTCTTCCCAGTCTCAGCTTCCTCAGGATGTCTCCCTGTTCTTGCAAAGTGCGGAGGAAAGTGGCACTCAGGTGATCTTTGTCACCTTTGGCTCACTTCTGGCTCAGTGCCAAGAGATCAAGCAGTTTGAGAAGCTTATGGAAGCCTTAAGCACTGCCATCAGTCAGGCTGGTGCACGGGCGTTGATTGCAACAAAGGGCTGCGAGCACTTTGCCATCCCAGAAACCGTGCAAGCGCTGCAGCAAGCAGGCAAAGTCCTCTTGGTCCCCGGGTTTCTTCCACACGGGGCCATCATGGCCAGGTGTTTGGCCGTCATCTGCCACGGTGGCTCGGGCACCGTGCACACGGCGCTCAGAGCTGGGGCGGTGGTGGTTGTGATCCCAGGCCGGCGCGGCCTGATAGATCAGACCTTCTGGGGCGCCAGGGTGCAGCGGTCGGGCGTGGGCTTCGGCCCTGTTTGCAGCGACATGCTCAGCGTGAAGCCCCGGGCGTTGCAGAGCGTCATGGAAGCTCTGCTGAAGAATTCTGAGGGCATGAAGTCTGCGGCCAAGATGATGGCAGCTTTCATGAAGTCGGAGGGAGGAGCAGCAGAAGCTGCAGAGATCTCCCTGACGCACTTTGCCGCGCACCCCGCGCCGACAGGATCTTCTTGAGGATCAGAGCGCCCGACCTGGCACCTGCACCAGCATTCCCGTAGTCACTTGTAGGGCTAACTGGGTTTGGTGAATTTGGCGACTTGGTCCTGCATGGAAACATACCAATGCATGTGTCACCCCACAGTGTTGGACCGTACTGTGTCAGCGCTGACTGAAATGTGCAGCAGCCCTCTGGGGTACTTGTAGGTGGCTTTATTGAGCTTCGTGTTGAGTTTCTCATCTCGCACCTTTGTTCGACCATGACGGGACGATGGATGTGTAGTGGAGGCCCGCGGCACACTGAACCCCGGCAGCAACTTGGACTTTGAAGAGAGTGACAGCGGTTTGCAACCATGTTGGCAAGCACGGCTAAGTCTGGTTAAGCAACACCAAGTATACTGGGCTAATCTGCTCAGCATGTGGCCCGAGTAAATGGCCTCGCATGAAGCACGCAAGGAGAGCGAAGCTGCCGGTCCTCTATGCCGAAAGCAGCCTGGCCGAACAGGCCACACCTGCAGCGCGGTCTCAGGAGCAGGGCAAGTGCGAGGAGTCAGGGACTCGGATGGAAGGTGGAGTTGCAACTGGTTTTGATGCTTAAGAAGGGAGGACATGCAAAGGACACAAAGAAACAGTAGCAGCAAGGCAGGAAAGAAATCAGAACAGCAAAATGGAGGCACGAAGAACGCGAGGAACAAAAAAAAGACACCAGGAAAGGCCTCGCATTCAATACAAGCCAGAGGCAACAAGCCGTGTCCCCATCAATGCTGCACATTCAAGACAGACAAGACATACAAATAATGTGAAGACATGCGTGTGTATATACATATATGACTCGGGTATGACATGTACATACAGACGCATGCTATGTACCCTGGCTCCATGGCAGGCAACAAGACCGGTTTCTAATTGCCGAGAATCCTTCCGTCGTGAAGACGTCAGCGGTGTGCGTGTGCAAAACCTTGAATCTGCATCCACGAGGTGTGGTTCGACAGTTGATAAGTATCTGGGATATCTGCCCATGGTCTTGACATGTTTAGACAACAGGATCGCTTTTGGCGGGGGTAGGGGTGGTTCTTTGCTTTGAGGCCCTCGCCATCTCGGATGTGGGTGTGCACGTCACTGACGAGCACGGGCCTGGATCCTGTGGAAAACACAGCCACATGACAGTTGTCGCTGCACTAGAGACTTGTACAGGTCTGGACCCTTAAGATGTCCAGAACATGCAAGTTGACTTTGAAATCACAGAAGGTCCCTCGATGACGATGATCTGGATCTGGACGAGTGTACTTGGTGGGACTAGGTGCGCTCATACATCTGCGAGCTTTGCCCTGATGGAAAGGACTATCGATCTTTCATACAATGCCCGAACTCCCTGACACCCCCCTTCGGCCCAACGTCCGCGGCACGCTCTCCTTCACTGGAGTTGCCTGGCCCAA